CTACCTAAACACATTAAGAGGTGATTGTTTATAAATTCAACTAGATTTTAATTGATTTTTTTTAAAATAATATAAATAAAAATATAATATATCATAAAATAAATATATATATATATATATTTTAAATATAATAGATTGATTCGTCTGATTGTTAATCCCACAAAAATTGTGTACAAGTAGCCTAACAACAGTGGAGTTGAATTTATCATGGCTTTATNGTTAATATTTATTTTCTCGATACACTTTTTTTTTCTGTAAAAAAAAGTTATATAATTTTATTTTATAATATTTATAGGATTTGACAGCGACCAGGTTGATTGGTCATTGACTTTTTAGCAACCCGTAAATTATAACTTGGGAGAATGTTGCGCCCGCGTGATTCATTTGTTCATACAAATTTTTCAACAAAATGAGCAGTGAACCAAATCATTCACATTTCATATCAAAGCATGCTCAACTTCTTTTTCAGTTATTACAACTTATATTTTTCTATTTTTGTTTTTCCCTACTATTTATACAAATTCAACCATATAATGTCTCATTTGATCCTTTGTAATTTCATTTGTCGAATTTAATTTGTTTTGCTAGTGAAATAAATGAGAAGATTTTTGGGGGGAGAGTAAGAAGTATATACTTGATATAAGTTGTAGAGATCTAATAGTTAATGTTCATATGAGAGAAAAATAGGAGTCTATTAATGTGTAATTAAATAAATGTGAAAAATAAACATTAAATTTTATAAAGACATGTGTGATGATGAATAGTTTTTATTTAAAAGTCATTCTGAGAAAAATTATGTGTGAGATAAATTAAACGAGGTAATGGTATATTTTTTCGGCAAAAAAATTATTTTTTAAATATTCAAGTACACCCTAAGTTTATCATATTGGTGTATTCATGTATTTTTTCTAATATTTAAGTAGACTATCTTCTATCGTAACAACAACTTGTGTTTTTGTTTGTTTGATATTTTGAGATTTTTTTTTTCTTTTTTTGCGAATAAATACTTGAATTCATACAATCAAGTGTTCAACAATACATTTCAAAAGAAAGGAGATAAAAAAGATAGGAGACAATCCTTCCACAAGAAGGATCCTGACGATCGAATAGCCCGTTTAGTTATATTATGAGCCATAACATTATGCTCGCGCCTAACATGACTACAGTTTCTACATTTCAACAACCTCAAAAGATCAACAATATCAAAAAAAAAAAAAAAAAAAAAAAAAAACATTGTGCAACAAGTCGTTAGGATGTTGGTCTGAGATGCCAAAAATAATAGAAGCAACGTTAGTTTTGGCGGTTTCGAGCATAAAGCCTGAATGCAACGCAAATCGAAGTCCAAATCGGAGGGCCAACGCTTTAGCGATTTCCGGAGAAAAGGATCCTAATTGTCGAGAGGCAAATGCAACCTAACACAGACCATTCGAATCACAGATCCAACTATCAAAGCCAATCGACACATCATTTACAGCATCATCACAAAAAATAGTAAACCCATTTTGACACGTACTTGGCCACTCCAAGATAGTACCGATGTCGAGGTAATTGTTCGTTTAATGCTGGAAGAAAAAGGAGGCACAGCGTTTATCTCTTCCAACCATACGTTTCCGATAACCCATATTTGTTCCACACTCCTAGCCGATATGCCATGTTCAATGCGGTTCCTCTCATTTCAAATAAGCCACATAAAAATTGCAATCCCTGGCATTTCGTTTCCCCGATCTCTATCCAGAATTTCACAAAAGATAGATAAGAAGTTCTTACCTCGCAAATTAGCCAACTTATCCTACCAACCGGCCATCTTCCACAACCTTTTAACCCCCATCCGTATTCGAAAAACACATGGACATTTGATTCCTAACCTCCACATCTAGCACATTTTGCTTCCACGTTAATAGACCTACGAGTCAAAATTTTTAGAGGAATGGAAAGCCAAGTGACACAATCTCTATAGAAATATTTTTATATTTGGTACGACATTCATTTTCCATAAATATTTTCACCATCGAGATGTTCGGTGAGAACTCGATTCTTGAAGATCACCTGATAGGGCTTTAAGCACATGGTAGGCACTCTTTACAGTATATGACCCATTATTAGAATCGTGCCAAATAACTGGATTCAAAATACGGTTGTTGCTCAAAGGAATAGGCCCATTTTGAGACTTTTGGATATTTGAGACTTTATAAAATTTTCACATTTAGGAATTCTGTGAAATTATGAAAGTATAATTTGGAGTAAGATTTTGCATATGATTTTTTTTTTTTGAAATCCTAGTAAATATTAAAAAATATAAATTAAATATACCATGATTTATAATTGGTACATAGTCTTTAGAAATTATAAATGAATAATGCTCTTTAAAAAGATCTAACCAATGTTCTAATGTCAATAGAATAAATTATTTACGTGTTCGTCTATCAATTTTAATTATTTTAATAGAATCTTTATCACTGATAATAAACCTGATTTCATTAATATTGTCAATAGGCGTATTTGTGATGTTGTAAAAACGTCACGTCTCTAGATTTTTACAATGAATAACAAATAAATTTAATTGGACTTTACAGAATTTGGAGGATAGTATGTTGCCGTTGAAATTAATCTAATCATTTCAAATTTGTTTAACTTTCTATTTAAATAAGAGGACTATAATTTGATAAAAATTTGTTTCCACAATGAATAGTACATGTTGAAAATCCACCTAGAGTAGTTGATCTTAATATCTTCTCATATCTGCTGTTTTAATTTTTTGTACTTTTGACTATGTCAAATCCTAATTTTTTAATTCACTTCAAAGTTTTAATAAATCTATGGCCCTATTTGTCACTTAGCACATAACATATAACTTAATCAAATTAGCTGATAATGAATAATTAACTGAACTATCATAGCTGTTTCAATTGGACACTAACAATTACTTATCAATTAAAAATAATCTCTCTATATAATTGTAGGCTATTACATTAATGCAATAGCCTACATTTTTCCCGCCCAAACTCTTTTTTCGCTCAATATGTATTTTTATTTTTATTTTACTTTGTGTTTACACCTTTAACTTTGTTATAAATATATCCAATAAAAATTGTAACGGTCATTTTCAGAAACTAATTTAATCGTGTTTTTGTTATATTGGTAATGATAAGTAATATTATATTTTGATGTAACTGGTATAATATAATATTACATATATCTTCTTTCATTTGTAAATTCACTTCAAATTTTGGACTTCAAATTATACGCAAACAATTATTAGATGAAATAATACATATTGTATATGTATTTTATTATATTATTAATTATTAATATAATTTACACGATAATTCTCTTAAAACTATTTAATTTGTATAGTATATAAGATTGTCCATTTTGAATTTATTTATTTTTTCTTTTGTGGTACTATAATAATTATTATTAATATAATGCTCAAAGTATATAAAAAATTGTATTATTCATTAAATTCATATAACAATTGTCATTCATATATGCAAAATTCCACATGTATATTATCTTTTTATTAAAATCTAAAAATTAATATGAGATGTAATAATTATTAAATAACTTACTTAATTAATGTAACAATTGAATTATAAATATGATATATATTATTAAATAACTTTTGATTTTAGTTATTAGTTTTATATAAGAATATTGTGTTATTCTTTGTGTAATCTGTGCATATACACAGGATGGGTTACTAGTTGATTGGATTACGTGATACACATTGAAATAATAATTTTGATTAACTGATTAAATTATCTCATTTGGTAAATAATTAACTTTCTAATATATAAAAATAATTAAAAATGTAGTCCATTTTTCCAGAATGCTCATATAATAAATCTTTTGGATTAAAAAACTATTTCAAATCATTATTTATCAAATTCCCCTATATATAATTCATGAACCAAGCTCCCAACCCTGGGGGAGGTGACGAAAGCCGTTGCAAGCCCAACGGGAAGGAGGATGCCAAGTCCACTCTTAGTCGAAGATATCTTTTCTCGACACTCGGGTTTATTATTTTTGAAGTAAGTACGTAATTCATGATTCCTTACCGATTTGCAAAACTTAAGTGGCATGCTCACATGCTTCATGATCGTATGTGGCAAATTTTAATGCTTGTCATTTGAATTGGATGAATATTAATTTACCCTCCATCAAAAAATAATTAGGTTTGGAATAACCATAAATATACCATATATCTATGGTCTTTTTTAAGAGTATTAATAATATATTTCCTATCACCATAAAATATAAATATACTAGATATTTATGGTCCTTTTTAAGAGTATTAATATTGCATTTCTTATTATAAACGTAATTATAAGGCATAATTTTTTTTTACTCAATTTTCTTTTTTCCACGTATTTCTTTTAAAACTATACAAAATTTATTTACTTAAATTATAAGTAGATTTAAAAGTTAATATTTTTCTTTATTTATTATTAAATTTTTATACATAATATATCAAATTAATCATGTCTTGATGAATTTCGAATATTTTACATTCAAAATTATTTTATAATAAAAATAAAAAAAATTAAATTACTTATTAATAATAATTAAAAAAATAAAATTATTCAAACATTTTAACTGCAAAGTTGTTAATGATATAATTTAAAAAAAAATTATAATATAAGATGGTGAGTTGTATAAGTGATGTATTTTATTTTAAATATAAATAGTAATATTGTTATTCAAAAAATTATTTAAAAATCAAAACAATTTTTTTATTATTATTCTTAATTTTAAACATAATTTTTTTAATAAATACTCATATAATACACGGATATTGTATTAATAATAATACTATACTAGAAAACAATAATCAATAAACCAACCACACACACTCATTAATTAACAAAAAGTAAACAATAAATCGAAACCAATCACACTCCCATCCCATTAATAATTAATTAACCAAAAGCAAACAGTAAAAATAAAATAAAATGATGGAGTATCCGCGTGGACACCAGACCTGGTAAAACTGANAGTTAAAAAAAAAAAAAAACAACAACAAAATAAATTAAAAACAAAAATGTCAAAAGTTGTTGATTTCGAATTCCAACATTAGATACGCGATTTTTGTCAAACCTCGTGGAGTTTCGCCTTTTTTCCGCTCACGCGTGCTCCCCCAATCCAACGGCCACCAACCCATCCGCATCGCACGGAAATCGGCCCCCATTTCCCCTCATCCGACGGTCCTCGTTCGCCCTGCTTTGACTCACGCATTCCCACGCGCCCCTCCTCCCAGCTGCCAGCATTAAATAAGCTCGCACCACGCCCACTCATGGCTGCACTTGCTTATCATCATCATCAACAACATCACATCGAGAGGAAGAGATCTGCTTTTTTAGGGATTTCATTTGGTGGGTTCGATCTCTGTTTCTCCTGGGTCGATCTTCAAGTAATTTTCTTTAACTGGGTTGTGTAAAACCTTTTCCGCTTTCGTTGTTTTCGCGATTGTTGTAGTTGTGTGTGATTTTTTTGGGATATTTTGAAGGTGGGTGTGATGTTGATCTGTGAATTTTTGTTTATACATACGAGGTTTTGTGAAATTTTCTTGAGAAGTTGGTGGATTTTAGAGTGTTGATTGGCTGGTGTTTTTTTTTTCCGAGATTTNAAGAGAATGTAGCTTTGTCTCATATGAATTACCCTTATATATGCTTCTCTGCATCAGCAAGCTGTTTGAACATAGTAAACCATCTCCTAAGACTTGTTTAGTTTGATTTTTGATGGGTTTTATAAGTTTACATGAGTGTATTTGTGTATCGTGTTGGGTTTTTTGTGTTATGGGAATGTAGATAATTTTCACTTTGAGTTACTGATTTGTTATGCCCGTTTGTTTTCTTCTCTGCATCAGCTTAGGTTGGTTTGGTTTTAAGAAAATCAAATATTTGGCTGAAGAATTGAATCAACAATGCCTTGGGGATCTCCAAAATATTTCGGGAAGTCCGTGCGGTTATTCGTGTTCTTTCTTGTTATTCTGTAAATTCTAAGTTTCATTAGGTGAGTCCCCCCTTTTCTGTTTGAATTTTCTATACTGGATTTTGTTCGTAGTTTTAGTTCACATAATAATCTCTTTAATAATGTTAAATTTTTGCAGGGTTGTGTAGATTATAAATTGTCGTGTAGACTGGTTTTGGTTTTACTTTGGTGGGGTAGAGTTTGAGAATGCGCATTGCAGCAGCTAGTGAGAAAATTCAAATATTGAAAGAATTGAGGCAAATTAACATGAGTGTTGGAAGCATTGCTTTTTACCAATTAATGAAAGTTTGTCAGGTAAAATCTCTTTAATACTCTTCCTATTTAAATATTCATATCTTGCTGTTGATAAGTTTCCACTTGCAGTTTCAGATTGTGTAATATAGTAAATTCTCAGATGCACATTATATTTTGTTTCGAGAATAATGACAAAATTATGTTTATTGTTTCGGTATTGCTTTTATAAATACTATCTATATGATTTAATAACATACTCGCTCGCATGCTTGTATCTAGCCTGTATGCTTACCGTCTATGTGATATATAACTCTAATTGAAGTTTAGTTTTTCATCATAACAATATTTGGCTGATTTAGTTATGCTTTGACAAAAATTAAAATATCTTCCATTTGAAGGCATACAAAATTTTAACTTAAATTACTTCAATAAGTTTTCTTTTAAAACCCCAACTCATTTGACTTTCGTGGACCCAATCAGCAACATATTTCTGTTCAGTCTTTGTTGAATTTAATCCAGTGTGTTATAAGAATAGTCTTTCTAGAAAGGTTCTTGGACCATTGGGCTTTCATAATATAATTAATTGATAACATGGAAGTCAATGTTTATTGTCCTACATTACACACATGGTTAAAGTTATCTTTCAAGGTAAAAATGGAGACTTTGTTGAGAAGGTTGGTTATTTCGTAACTGATTGTTCGACAGTAGTTTCTAGTTATGTCAAATTTAGCTTGTTTTCTCTTGTTTTCATCTTTTTTCGAGTATTTGAAGCCTCCGTGTTGGGTAAAGTTTTGATATTTAATTAAAGTTTGCATCTTTAGTTAATTGTTCTTATTTTCTTAGGTAGAATTTGTTTAAAATTAACCAACCAATCTTTTTAGGATCTTTTTCCCTTTTTGTAGTTTTTGTTTCAAGTCGATCTTCAACTTAATGAGCTAATTCTTGTTTTATCTTTTTCCTTTGTAGGCTGAATATTTCCGTCAGTTGCTTAAACCCGTCACGTAGTCTGATTTTTTCGACTTTCTTTGTGCTCTGTTTGGATCACACACAATTAAACTCGAGTTTCGATTATCACAAGCTATTCATCAGAGACTCGGCCTACTCTCAACCCAACGAACAATTTCCTTTAAATTTGAACCTATCTGAAAATCGTACATCTTAACCTTCAAAACTTTTATAGCCCCGTTTTTTTCGACATAATCAGCACTCATGCACACAGGCCAACCATTCTTCCCTGAAAATCCCAATCTCCCTTTAGGGCTCGGAGATAAAAAATTTAGGTATTACGCGCAAAATGCTCCAATGACAGCTGTCTTAAATGGGTTTGCGCCACCTGGACTCAAACGCGCCTTTCCTTTCCACAATGTCAACATTCAACCTTCGAACGTATGCCCTCGAAATTTCATAATCTTCGACCAAACCAATAAGGAAAGCCAGGTCATGTACAATCCCGAGATAAGCTCGAAATTGCTCCAAAGCTCGAATTTTGAAGTCTCCCCGCCTTTTTGTCAAGATGACTTTGTCCAAAAGGACCCTCCAAACAGTGATCACAATATTAGTTCCTCGTTCGAAGAGGACTACAATGGTATCGATGCACTTTTGAGTAGCGAATATGAAGAAAATGAAATCGAGGATGATGAGGTCAGCACGGCAAGAACGGGAGTTTATTATGACTGCAGTTCACCCGATTCTTGCTCGAACTACGAGCCTGTGGCGAAAAAGAAACGGACGGTTTTTGAAAAATCTTGCGGAATTCGAGGGACTGAAAAGAAGAAGAAGCATAAGAGAATGAAGAAAATGGTGAAGGCTTTGAGAGGAATTGTTCCTGGTGCGAATCGGATGAGTACTGTTGAAGTTTTGGATGAAAGTGTACGGTATTTGAAGTCTCTCAGGGAAGAGGTTCAGAAGCTTGGAGTTGAGAGCTTCGAATGGTGAAAACATAAAAAATTGCTGATTTGTGTTCGTCTGAATTATGTCTATTTTTGGGCTGAAAAGAGATTTATCAAGCGAGCGAAGATGAATTTAATAGTCTTCTCGGACTATATGAATGTTAGTCGATGGTTATCTTGTAGTAAGGTTCGATAAAGTTGCTTTCTTTAGTTTTTTTCGGCTTTTTTCTACTTCGTACGGTTTCTTGCTGTTAAGAAATTTAGATGACTGTACCAACTTTTATTTAAAAACTGCAACTAATGCAGCAATTTGTTGTTCATTTGGTACCTTTATTCATATATCTTGTAGTTTTTTTTTGGCAGATTGAATGAGGGTTACTCTGAGTATTAAAATTTACATTTAAATCATGATAAATATTTACATATTTGTATTGTGAATGACTGGAATGATCTGAAAACATTTTAAAATGCAGGCAAAGAACCATATTGTGAAATGTGAATCACAATATGATGAATTTTTTGTTGAAATAGAGCACTGGTGTAAATGTTGTGGAATTTATTAGTAATTTACATTCATCTCTTCCTTTTTTTTTTTCTTGGTAAACAATGATGATTTTACCTTACTTTTCTGAAAACGAAGCACACACAATCAAGTGATCCAACTTCAATCTCTAAAATATGACGGTGGCAGATTATCATCAATTAGAATCAAGGTTGAGGTTGTTCGGTACCTAAATAGTAAATAACTAAATACCTAAATGGCCCGAGTAAAAATAAAAATGGAAAAAAGAAGCTCAGCCATCACATCAGTTACAAGTATTTAGAAAAATTGAACACCACGTACCAATAACTGACAGTTTGGCCGAGTGGTCTAAGGCGCCAGATTTAGGCTCTGGTCCGAAAGGGCGTGGGTTCAAATCCCACAGCTGTCAACTTAATTACCACACTAGCAAACTTTTTTTCTTCCTGATTTTTATATTTTTTTATACAGAGATTATTTAACTAT